TATTATTATTTTACAGAGTGCATTTTCTACATCTCATCTCTCCCTACCCCACTCCCCACCCCGCCCCAATATTTGAGAAGAAGAATGCTTCTCCCTAGCTGCTGTCCTGACCCAGATCTATGGCAGCAATGCCCACTGGGAGAAAGGCTCTGAAGGGGACCTCTAGGCAGCCATTCATTTGTCCATCTTGATCTCTCTGGTTCCCAGATTTGCCCCTCCTCCTCCACCCCCACCCCCAGATCTGGTTTGACTCCCCAAACTCGAACAAAGTGGCTTGCCAGACTGAGGCCCTGGGAACTAGTGCTCGGGACATAAGCTGCCTAAACAGGGAGGGGCTGAGTCAGTCTGGATAGTTAATGCTCATTGACTGAAAATTGCAGAGTGCAGTGCATGTCCCACGGGAATGGGGTTCAGAAGGCTGGGTAGCCAAATGGTCAGACATTGACCTGCATGGCTAGAGATCTGAAACCATCTCTTGACTTCCTGTAGAACCTTGGATACCCCTCACCCCAAGGTCAAAGCCCCAGCTCAAGAAGGTCTCTTCCCGCCCACCCCATTCCCATCAACAATGACTTTAAAGTACTTTGAATCTTTTAAAAGAAAGGTGTTGGCAGCTTACCCAGGCCCATTCCCTAGAGTAAGCCTGGAGTAGTTTCTTACCTCCCCCCTTCTTCCTGGAGAGCCAACTCAGTATCCCACAATTCTCGAAAGAAGACTCCAGAGGTCATTCAGAAATTGCCCCCCAGCTGGCCCCCAAAACAAAGCCACACCCTTCAGGCTTGGTCAGGAAGGATAATACTTCAAGGCATATGTTAGAAGGAGAATGTCTAGATATGCCCCCAAATCTGTGTGCTCTGGGCTAGTAAGGAGGCTGGGACAGAGCATATGGAATTTTCTAGGTATATCAAAGGTTCGCTGCCCAGGAGACAAAGATCTATTTAATTAGTCGATCAGCAAACATTTATTAAGGCATGTGCTCTTGTGCCCAGGATAGAAAGACTAACGTGAAACAGTTCCTGCTCTCAATGAGCTTACATTCTATAGAGACAACTTGTACATATATACTAAAGTAAATCCAAGGTGATTTTTTTTCTTTGAGAAGAGGAATAACAGCTAGAGAAATCTCTAGTTTCTTTTGAGACAATGCCAGCTCCACATTCTTCCTGAAACCTCTGATCTCCCCAGCTGCTAGTACCTCCTGCACCCCTCAAAATCGCCTTGTATCAGTTTTAGTATCTATATCAATTATGATTGTGATAAGAATTTATATAGAGCTTTAATGTTTGCAAAGCACTTTAGACATGTTATCTCATTTGACCCTCAAAAGAACCCTTTAAAAGAGATGCTATTATTATTCTCATTTTACAGATGAGGAAACTGAGGCAGAGAGAGAGGTGAAATGACTTGCCCAGGGTTTGGCAGCTAGTAAGTGTATGAGGTTGGATTTGAACCTAGGTTTTTCAAACTCCAGGAGGCTGCCTATCTATGTATACATCCCCAGTTACAACAAATGTTGCTTGAGGATAGGGACTGTTTTGCTTTGGTCTTTGTGTGATGCTGGGCATTTAGTAGGCACTTAATAAATGTTTGCTTGATTGATCCACCTGGAAAGGTCTCAGTGTAGGAGGTGGCATTTGATCTACTGAATTCAACACACATTTATTAAAGTACCTCTTGGGAGCAAGGCACTGGGGATAGCTACAAAAAGAAAACTGTCCCAGACCTCTGAGAGTTTACATTTTGAGAGGAGGTGGAAGTAGGGGTGGGGTGGGGAAAGGATGCTGAAACATAAAAGAATAAAAACAAAGTAATTGCCTGTGGGGAAGACCTAAACAATCGGGAGGGGAATCTGAAAAAGTATGTGATCAGGACCACCTGACCCACCCAGATCTTTCTGGATAGAGCAGCTGAGGATCTGATGCAATCCTAGGAAGGATTTCATCCTTGCCCTCCTCTACCTGGACCATAGGGTGAGGGAACTACATTACAGATTTCTCTCGGCAGAGCTGAGCAAGGGGAACAGGAGAGCCTGGCAGTGTCCACCATGTTGGACCTCTGCCCCAGGAGGAATGGAATCCGCCCCCACATGGCGAAATCCACCCCTTGTATTGCACTGTTGGCCTCGGGCATTCTTCCCTACTTCCCCTGGTCACAAGACTGAAGAGCCCTGGTAAGGCATAGTCTGGGTTCCTTTCTGTAACCTAAAGGTTATTTTCAGCTCCCCAACACTTGTTGATATGAGGCCCCATTCACAGGTATCCTCCACAAAGTATCCCACTCACAGAAGAGACTGTGCTTTGTCCATTTTGATAGCTGCACCTTCTACAAAATGACCCACTTCCACATTTTTGGATAGAGTTGGATTTCTCTCACTTATTATGTTTCAGCCCCTCAAGTCAATAAACCGTGATGAAGCTCTTGTGTTCAGCAAGATGCCTTGCTAGGTGCTGAGGGTACAAAGCTGTTTTTGTTTTTAAAGATGGGATTCCTATCTTCAAGGGACTTACAGCCTAATCTGGGGGTGGCACAAAAAGTAAACGTACCTGACAAGTAGTATTAAGTATATAATTACTGATTCCTGTGAAGTAGAATGGGGCAGGGGATAAACGTTATGGAAAAATTGAGAAATGAGGTAATTTCTCAGCTGAGAAGCAGAAACAGCTTCCAGGATTGTCCATCAGTCCCTTTGACTTGACTCATTTTCTCTTCCTTTCTCTCTCTTCGTTGGAGTTGCTACCATTGACATTTTTATCTCTGACGACAGGTTACTCAGCACCATCTCGTGAGTGCCATACAACCACAGGCACCCCCAATTCCTCATCCCCAACACCATCTGGCCCCATTCCTTCCTCCCCTCCTCCCTATGCTGGGCACCATGGCCTTGCTGAAAAGTGAACCATCTGCTTGCCCCTGTTCTTTTCTCCAAGCCAAAACTAGACCCTTAGTCTGCTTTTTGAAGACTTCTGGAGAGAACTGGGTAGAAAGTGGGGTAGAGATGGGGGTGGGGGAGAAGAGAGAAAGGGCAGAGATCTAGGCCCCTGAGGACAGCCATCTTAGTATCATCACCAAATGTCATTTAGAAGTTGGTTCCTAGGGTAGGGGGTTAAGTGGAATGCCTCAGTTTCCCCCAATTTAGGAATGAGGGGGCTGGCCTAAGTAGGGCCTTTCTTCTGGTTCTAAGCCTATTCTTTGCCGGGTAGCTTGGGTAGACACCCTACGCTTTTAAGACTTTTTGAGGGAGGGGGAGTTGGCAGGAGCAGCAGAGGCCTGAGTCCCTGGAAACTGCTTAGTGGCCTGGCATCCTGCCCACCTGCCTGCCAGCTTTGGGGAGGTCATCTAATCTTGTTAGTTCCCCTCCCGGAGTGTGTGAACCGTCTGATGCAAATCCTGCTCCTGCTGCCATCAGGGTCCTTATGCCCCCGATTAAGTCTTAAAATAAATAAAGGTCGCGTCCGTCCCAACCACCTCCCATCCTCGCAATGGGCCCCAGCCTTCCTGATAGCGTGTCAACACCACCCTCCTCCAGCGTTAACTGCCGTCAACCTAGATTTCCTGCAGCCCAGTCTGTCTGATGAAACCTATCGGTCCCATTGCAGCCAGTGGGGGTTTTCCCCTCGATCTAGGTCCCAGGTCATGACGCAATATTCTGAGTCTTTTACACAAAGCCCAGGCTGGGAGCAAGCGGTCGGCGCAAGGACCCAACGGAAGCTCCGGGCCCTGGTGGCTAGCAGCTGGCCAGGGCACCGTTTGCCCAGATTCGGCTAGAAGCCTGCAGAAGCTTGGCTCCGTCTGTTTGTCTGTCTCCAGGTTTTCTCATTAGGGGGACCAAGTGACCGTGTCCCCAAGCATAAAGAGCTGTCTTGAGCCTGTGACCTTATGTAACAAGCACTGGAGCCGCCCACCACCCCAAAAATCCTCTCCTGGGGTTGGGATGCTTGGAGACACTGGGGCGGGGGTAGTGGCCAAGCTGCGGGGAAGGGGGGGAGCAGAAGACATTCAATGTGGAGGTGGGGGACCAAGCTTGGCTACTGGAGTTTTCAGGATTCATGACCTCTTCAGGGGCATCCCTCTCGTCAAAATTAAACCTTCCACTTAGCTAGGAGCCATCCCACCCCCTCTGCCAGTGGGCAGCGGCCAAGTTTGCCGGTGAGGAAGGGGTGTGCAATGTGGGGGAGGGGGAAGGGACGGCTTACGAAGTTGATTGACACCCACTCCCCTTCCCCCCTCTAGCTCAGCACAAAGAGCTACACCCCCCTCAAGGAAAGCATCCCCCGTCTCCCTGCACCCCACCAATCCTTTCCTTGAACGAAAAATGGGGAGCCCGGGGAGGGGGTAGAAGGGAGGGCGCGGGCAGGCCGGGATCTCGAAGGGTTAAAATGCGCTGAGTTCAGCTGCTTATCAGTGTCCCCGCTGGGATCCCACGAACGCCCCCCCCCCCGCCCCCAGATGTGACCGCAGTTGGCACAGGCTCCTGGGAGCTGCTTTCTTTGCAACAGTTTCCTCTTCTCTCCGCCCTGCCCCCAACCCCATCTTCCCCCCAGGTGAAGGCGGAGGTCGCCAGCCCCCTCCCCCTTTCGTGCCCTCGCTCAGTCCCCGATCCCCGTCGCCCCACGGTCCCAGCAGCCGGACCCTATAATAAACAAGTCTTTCCTTGATCCTCCCAGGCCCAGCTTGCCCCCAGGGACCTTGGCAGCTGCGGCTGGGGAGCAGCAGGACCAGGAGGGGGCGTGGCTAGCGCTCTCAGGCGGCGGGGCGGGGGAAGCGGAGAGCACCGGTTGCTGTGGGGAGAGGAAAGGAGGAGGGGCCCTGGTCTCTGTCACCAGGCAGGAGAGAACGTTGCGAACGTGCGCCCGGCTCTTATTGGCCTATCGGGGCCACACTCCCGGGTCGAGATTGGGCCGCTAAGAGGCCCGGACTCCGGCTGGGCGAGGAGGCGTGGTCTCGTTCCGCTCAAGCGATATAATAGGCGCAGCCGCGGGGCTCGAGCTAGTAGAGGCGCAGGGGGGAGGGTGAAGTGGGAGGGCAAGCCTGGGCAGCTCTCATTAGATCTCGTTGTACAGAACTCGGTCGTCCTGATCCATTCAGTCGCCTGCCGGCTCTGCTCACCAGCAGGTGCTATCCACCGAGGCTCTCGCTAGGCTTAACTGGTAAGTGCTCCTGGGCTCCGTCCGTCCAGTGGACAGGGGGCGCTTGGGACCACCCTCCCCTGGGTCCGAAGCATCCATCGCCTTGGGTCCGTCTCTCTCTGGGGGGGAACGCCGTGCCAGCTCCCAGACTGACCCCCCGCGTCTGTGCTCTTGTCCCATTGCAGAGCCTCTAGTCCGACCTGTGCCTTGAAACTGACCCCGGTTCCTCCGACGCGGCTGCGGCAAAAGGTGCCAGCAATGCCAGGGCTTTGGGATCGCTTCTCGTCCTCCTCTTCCTCGCGGCCGTCCACTCCGGACCAGCCGCAGCAGCGCTCGGCCTGGGGAACGGCGGCCCGAGGAGAGGGGCTTGGCCGCTGCGCGAGTCTGGAAAGCTCCGACTGCGAGTCGTTGGACAGCAGCAACAGCAGCTACGGCCCCGAGGAGGGTAAGTTGGATCCCAGGAAAGAGAAGAAAACGGGCCGAGGGGGGCGGGGAGGTTCAGGGGTGCAGCGCCGAAAGGGTTAACCCCGGGAGCCCTGGCCGCCCCACTTGGCTGCCATTCGTGGCCCTGCCTTCTGTAGGGGGGGTGGCATTCGGGTTCGGAGGGCATTGAGGGAAACTGAGGCCGAAGAGGAAGATGGTGGGCAGTGATCGCTGACCCGAGCCTTCCCTGTCTCTTTAGACAAGAGACGCTAGCTCCGCCCCTTTCTCATCCTCTCACTTTGTCCCCGGCTTGCGGGAGCTGAGCTCACTCTCTCGATGTTCTCCTCAGATACAGAGTACATGGATGAGGTGTCGCTGCCCGATTTCGACCTGCTCAGCGACCCGGAGGATGAGCACCTCTGTACCAATCTGATGCAGCTCCTCCAACAGACCCTGGCCCAGGCCAAGCTGGGCAGCAAGCGCCCAGCCCGCCTTCTGATGCCCAGTCAGCTGGTGGCCCAGGTGGGGAAGGAGCTGATGCGCCTGGCCTACAGCGAGCCCTGTGGTCTCCGGGGCGCCCTGCTGGATGTGTGCGTGGAGCAGGGCAAGAGCTGTCACAGCGTGGAGCAGCTGGCCGTCGACCCCAGCTTGGTGCCCACCTTCCAGCTGACCCTGGTGCTGAGATTGGATTCTCGCCTCTGGCCCAAGATCCAGGGACTCTTCAGCGCCGGGCCGACCTCCTTCACTCCGGGCTTCAGCCAGTCCCTTACACTGAGCACTGGCTTCCGGGTCATTAAGAAGAAATTGTACAGTTCAGAGCAGCTCCTCATTGAAGAGTGCTGAGAGCCTGGCCTTGCTGCCTAGGTCCCCTACCCCAGGACAGTCGAGGGGGAACACAGCAGGCTGGCTGAGGTGGGGAGGGGATGGAGCATCCTTTGTGGAAAACTGACTGTAGCCGCCACTGGGGGAGGTTAGAGTGGGAGGGTCACCTTCTCTTTGGGGGGAAGGTCACTCACAGAGTCCTGAGGTGTGTGCAGGTGGCTAATTGGGGAAAGTAGAGCTGGCTCCTGCAGAGGTATTAACTTCCCCAGTGGGGGATGGGGAGGATGGAGGATGGCATCAGCAGATGCCAAAGGAACAACCACAGTTCTCCCAACTGATATGTAGCATGAATTTCCTTATTTTATTGTTATTATTGTTATTATTACTGACAGTGAAGATGACAAGTAGTGGGGTGGTGATGTCGTGGAGACCAGAACTGAGCAGCTGGGCTGTGTTGGTCCTGGTCCATTTGCAAAAGGGGGTACGTGTGCTTGTGTTTAACAAGGTGGGAGGGTGGGGGGAGTTCATAGAGGATTGTTCTGTCATTTTTGTCCTGTGTGACTTAAAGCCAGGGTCTGAAGGGGCCAAGTGTGTATGTTTTTTGGATCAGCTTCACTACTACTGACCTTTTTTTAGGCAGCTATCTTAGAGACTCACACGAATGTAAGAACACAGGAAGGGTTTGGGTGTTGGGATCTCTGTAGATCTTGACACTTGGAGGGGGGGGAAATGGGTGCTGGGGCCAACCAGTGGGGGGGGCTGGAACCCCCTCCCCAAAGTAGTGCCATATGGGGCTTCCATCTAGAACCGTTTACGTGAATACACTTGATGTTCAAGTATTATTAAGACCTATGCAATATTTTTTACTTTTCTAATAAAAACAAGTTTGTTACATATGATTGTGCTTCATTAATCATTGGTGCAAAAGTGGGTGAGGGAGGGGTCTGAAGATATGGAGGGGGGTATTCGGTACAGACTGGTCATCTTTCTCCATCTTAAGATGCCCACCTCTGCATCTGACCCTTCCCTAGTTCTCTCTACGCAGACAATGACCAGGACCTTCTCCAGGTAACTAGCCTAGATTTTATCCCTGATGCTAGGAACTAAGATTGAAATCCTCTCGTTGTGATGCTTGCTGAATGGATTGACAGCCCACTTGCTGAGGGAGGGCTTAACCTCAAAGTCCCTAGGTGAAGATGTCCTGGCTCGCTGTGAGCATCTTTCTAGTCATTTTTCAGGGGAATTTATTTGGAAAAGCAACAAACAAGTAGGCCTGGGTTGACTTTCTTCCTTCAACTCCAGTATGCTCATTAGCCGGATGGAAAAAGTCAGATCTGTCCCTTTGCCCCTTTCTAGTGAAGCTAAATATCAGGGTAAGTCGATATGAGACCTTCATCAGCTCCCCATGGTCAGCAGAATCAAGTCCAAGCCTTTCATTCTAGACCCTCCATAAACTAGCCTTTGACCTCTTCAATCCTGTGACCCCACAGCAGGAACGTTCTAGGTGTCAGCAAAGCCAATCCCAATCTCCCAATTTCATCTGGTCATTTTGCTTCCATTTTTCCCCACCTCAACCCCTGTCCCCCAAGTTCTTTCTCTCTTCCCACTATGTAAATCCTACTTAATCTTCCAGCTTTTTTCCTTCTGACAACTTCCCCCAGTAGTCATTAAGGTTGTAGCATCAGAGCAGAAAGGGATCCTTAGAGGGCAATAGGGGAAGGGAACGTGGATTTATTAAGCTCCTCTTTTGTGCCAGGCACTGTACTAAGTAATTTACAAATATTCCAACATAGAAACAGAGCTTTTGAGCTGGAATGGTCCTCAATGGCCAGCCTAATTACATGGGAGGCCCAAGGTCAAACAGTAACTCGGCAGTAAGGATTTGAATCCAAGGCCAATCTCTCCCTAACAGTAGTGGGCTGCACCAATCATTCCATCTTTAGCATCCCTTGAGTTCTTGTATTTTCTCCTCAGCAAGACTTGTCCAAGCTGTTTGAGGACAGGCTCAGAGTCTCGTTTTTTCTTGGTATGGCTCCCAGTGTGTAACAAGTCTGGGCATGGAGGAGACGCTTTGTTCTTGGGATAAATGAGCTCAGAAACACGGGATGTCAAAGCCCTCCCCAGAGCCTTCCCCTGAAGTCTCTTAGTTTAACTGTCCCAGATGCCCACCTGGTCTTTGATTCTAGATGGCATCTTTATCCAGTTAGACAAGATCTGGAGGCCTGGTTGCCAAACTGACTGAAGTTACCCCCCCCCCCCCCCCCCCCGGCTGGCTGTTTGCTCCCTCTTACTCTCTTGCCTGAAGCCTAGCCAGGGCCAGGGTGGGTTGGGGGCTGTGCAAAGCTCCCACAAGCCAGGACCAGTCCCTGGAAATGGCATGCTCTAGGGACTAGCTCATGCTGCTTTCCAGGGATGCTGGGATGGCGCCAAGGCTCACAGCTGTGCTCACTAGGCCCTGAGAGACAGAGAAAGAACTGTGTCTGGTCCTAGGAAGAGAAATGATGTTTGGTGTTTATGTGGAATCTTACAGCCTAATGCCTTTGAAGTGCTGTGTGAGCTTCAAGGAAGCTACTGAGGCTCTTTGGAAAGCAAGCCCCCTTTAGCCTCATTGTACAGAAAGAAAGCCTAAGGCTTCTCGAGGGTAGGGGGGCAGTCAGAAGCACTGCTGGGCCTCCATCTCCCAACTGTCCCCCTCAGGCCTAGCCTGCTTCTCCTAGGACACACTGTCACCTTAGCAGCGTCTGAGAGAGCAGGAGAGAAGTCGGAGCCAAAGAAATCTAGATTTGAGTCGGTCTTAGCACCTATCAGCTTTGTGACTTTGGAATCTCAGTCTTGGGTTCCTCATCTATCCTTCTCACAGTGTTATTGCTAAGAAATCACTTTGGAAAGCAGTATAGAAATGTGAGGTGCTATTACTCCAAGTCCCAGGAAATAACAGGCCCACCGCATCCTCCAAATGGAAACTCTCCTTAGTTTGGCTTCCTTTGTGATGTGACAAGAAGCTAGTCAAGGCCTGAGCCAGTCTGCTCTAGGGTCTTCCAGAAATGGAGGGCTATTTTTCTGTAAAAACCTGAAGCAACCTCAGGCGGAAAAGCTTGGAATTCTTACTTTCAGTACTCAACTCAATTCAATATTTGGAAGATTATTATTTTTTTCTTTCTTTCTGGGCTAAATTCTGAGCAGAGATATAATCGTACCTGGAAAGATCCTGCGTCTCCTTCACCTGTTGTAAGGTCCAACTTTACCCATTTACTTCAAAAAGAGATACTAATTACAACAATAATAACTAGCATCCATCTAGAACTTCAAGGTTTACAAAATCCTTTACAAATATCTCATTTGATAACTATGGAGCTAGGAGGGACCTAAATAACCACCTAGCCCATTCCCTTCCCCCATTTTTTTTTTAATAAATGAGGAAACTGAGGCCCAACAACATTAAGAGACCTGCCCAAGGTTATAGAATAGTAGGATTCAGAGGCAAGATTTGAATCCAGGTCCTCTGACTTCAGAACCGATGAGCTTTTACTATAGCATTATACCTCCCATTATATCATATTGGCTAGTCTTGGTCTCCCTCCCCCGCCAAATATAAAAAGGGGACAGGATTAGGTTTCCAGTTTCTTCCAGCTCTAAAATTCTACAGTTTCATTTTATGGCCTAACCCAATCTCCTAGTTAAAATACAATCATTCCATTTGGCCTGTAAAATTAATATGGGTCATCTTCACCTTTCCACCCTTCCCAATTACTACATAATCATGTTTTCTTCCTCCTCAAAAATCAACAATGACTACCTATTTACCTACTACATTAAAGCCAAATTTTTCTGCTTGGCTTTAAAGAACATGAGTGATCTAATACCAGCTGACCTATGCAACCTTATTTTCTACTATTCCTTATTATATATTCTCTAGTCTTCCTATCAAGTCTTCTTACTGCCTTGTGTACACGTTATACTCACACCTGCCATGTCATTCCAATTTTGTAAAAAGGAAGACAATAGATCCTTTAAAGTATATAGGCCAATGAGCTTGATTTCCAACTCCTGACAAAATGCTAGGCTACATTATTAAAGGGTTGGTTAATGAACATTTAGAAAAGGAAGCAGTGATCACAAAGAGCCAGTATGGTTTCATTAAGAACAGGATATGCCAGACTAGCCATAATACCTTATTTGACAGGCTTATTAGATTGGTGGATCGGCAAAATTCTATAGATGCAGTCTACCTAGATTTCATGTTATTACTGCAGACCAGATATAGAAATCTGGGCTAGATGTTAGAGTGAGATAGATTTGGATGTGATCCAATGATCAGAACCAAAGAGTAGTCATTAATTAGTTCAATGTCAATTTAGAGGAAGGTCTTAGTGCCCCAGGGATTTGAGCTTGAAGCTGTGTTATTTAATATTTTTATTAGTGACTCAGAAAAACCCAGAGATGACATTTTTAATCAAATTTTCAGATAACACAAAGCTAGGATAGATTGAATTAGATAATAGATTCAGGATCCAAAAATGTCTTGACAGGCTAGAAATCTGGGGCAAATATAAAAAGATAAAATTTAATTGAAATAAATATAAAGCTTTTGAACTTGGGTTCAAAAAATCAACTTCACAAGTAGGAGATGGGAAGATGTCACTGTACAGCAGTTCTGAAAAAATAAAAGAATTTTGTGATTTTATTGGCTATGAGCTCATTATGAGTCAATAATTTGACACACCCACAAAAGTTAATTTGACCTTGCCCTACATTAAGTAACCAGAGTGAGGAAGGTGGTGGGCCTGCTTAACTCTGGCCTGGTTAGACTATACTTGGAGTGGTGTGTTCAGGTCTCTGTGTTACATTTTAGGAACTGGAAGACATCTAGGGAAAGTTAGGCAGGATGGTGAAGATTGAAGGAGCAAAGAATGAAAAGAGAAAATTTAAAGGGGACTTGCTAGCTGTCTTCAAGTATTTAATGGGCTCTTACCTGGAAAAGGGATTAGAATTTTTCTGCTTGGTTCAAAGGGCAGAACTACCCTAGCAGTGGATGGGTGGTTCAAAGAGTCTGATTTCAGCTTGACCTAAGGGAGAATTTTCTCACAATTAGAGAGACGTGAATTGGATTACCTTAGGGAATCTGTCCTAGAGGTTTTCCTTCCTAGGTCTTCAGCCTTCCCTAGAGTTCTTCAGCCACCCATTTGTTGGGGATATACATAAGCAATTAGCAATCAGGGATAGAGTGTTTGGGAGGGCCTCCGAAGTCTGTTCCAATGGTATGGTTATATAATTATCACCATAACTGGACTGTAAGCTCCCTTGAATTCTCTCATATATCTCTAAGTCCCAGAGCATCTCACATAGGCCTAGTTTGCAAAGTGGGAGCAAAGTAAGCCATAGCAATTTACATTTATTTAGCATTTTATGGTTACAAAGCGTTATCTCATGCATTCTCTCACATGATCATGACAAAAGCTGAGTGAGGTAAATATATTGTAGTGTTAATTTTACAGAGGAGGAAGGAGAGACTCAGGAGGTTAAATGATTTACCAAAGGTCACTAGCTTTGTCACTCCAGCTAGCTAGCCCAGTTTTCTGTCCACTTGACAGTGCCTCAAGCAGTGTTGTTGATTGATTTATAATCTCTACACACTTGGTTCAAAGGATATGTTTACATCTGCAACTATCAGGCTGTTAAATGGCCCTAGACTCCACCATTCAGGCAACAGACATTGATTGAATGTTTACTGCATGCCAGGCTTTATGCTAAGCACTGGGGATACAAAGAAAAGCAAAAGACTGTCCCTGCCCTCAGGAAGCTTACATTCTAATGGGGGAAGACAATATGCAAAATACCGTGTTCATACATGAAAGGCACTACAAACAGGATGGGTGGACCAGGGAAGGCTCCTTGC